TGGCCCCTCCCTAACCCCAAGTGCCTTTAGCTTCCAGATCGTTGTCCACAAATTCTTCTCTTGGCCTGGTTTCCCCTCCATAGTCATTCAAAGTGCAGTTGATGACTCCTTGCCCATTAGTCACTTAGGACACTCAGATCCTATCATAGTTCATATTAGGCTGATGGGGAAAACACCTGGAACCAGCAAATCTGGTTGGTGAAAACTAAGCAAGCCCTGACCTCCATACTGGTCCCCTGTATTTACTATTTAAAAGCAAGTCCTGGGAATGTTTTTAATTATCACCACTTAATTTCATAATGTTGCTTTCCCTTCTTTTCCATACTATAGTCTTAACTTATATTTGAAACTTCTTTTGGGGTGGAATAGGCCACTTGTGACCACACTGCTGGGGTCACAGCTGTACACTCTACACACTATTCACACATTATCATAATAAACCCACATACAGGAAGCATCCATGTATAATTTGGAAGGCCCATCCATTCCTTTCAACCCATCTGCATTGGTGAATTTGTCTCTCCTGGCCCATGTTTAATGAAGCCCTGGCAGGGCCATCCCACATCACATGCATCTCACCTCTAAGACTTGTCACTGAGTATTTTCCTTCCTGCTCAGGGAAGTCATATCCTGCCTGTGGTGTTTCTGAGAGAGGGGTCTCTGCAGTAGTATAGAAGCTTCAGGAAAGGAGAGCTGAGAGGAGAAATCCTGGGGGCAGGGGATGAGGAGAGACAAAAACATTACAGCCCCTGACTAGTTTTCCACAGAAAGTCTCATGGAGCAGTAGCTGAAAAAAACCTCTGCTTCTATACAACTCAGGGAGAAATGGAAAACAGGAAAGAGAATGATCCCAGCATGAAAAGACCCTTATTCACCAAAATAATATGGAGGATAAAACTGTTAATGGCTAATTTCATTACAAATACTCAGATGTATTGGGGGACATCAGTTACTTACTCCTCCTACAAGATAATCTGATGGATAAAACTCTCAATGAACTACATGCAACTGCCAGAAAAATAAAGTAAAAAAAATAAAATGAGGAATAAACAGTGAAAATTTATTTTTTTCCTGTATACACGCTATAAAGATGCTACCTCATGGGATACTGGCTCAACAGAGAGTATTTTCTGGAGATTATGGAGATGGGCAGCACTATGCTTTGGTCATCAATTAGATTAGCAGCCCATCACACACACCATTTGTTGATTGTTTACATGAGAATACAACACTGAGATGAGACACATGATGGAAATTACAAACCCACACATTGAAAAAAATCATTGGTGTTCAAGGAGGATGAAAGCTGTGGCCATGCATGGAGGATGGGACCCAAGACTCTTCAGGTGGAGGGAAGCCACCACAAAGGAGTAGAGAACCTGGCTTGGGACACAGGAATCACAAAAACAGACGCCCAGAATAATTGGGCAAGACTGCGAGCACATGTGGATGGCCAGAGAGGAGAGAAAGGTACTACCCAGGAAATGCAACTAGCAATGTAACTTCATCAAAGAGAGATGTCTTGTTTTAAGGAAGGAGGTCTGTGACACAAGTTTCTCTAGGTGAGCTACTGTGTTCAAAGTTTTCTAGTTATCCCTCACCTTTCCCCTCTCTGGCCTATATTGATACTAACCTTCTCTGTTGAGGAGGCACCAGGTGACAAAGTAGTAGACCAGGACAAGAGAACAGGACAGTTCCACCCATTTAACCTCTGTACCTAAAATTAGATCCAAGCACCAGTTTCCAAACAGTAAGTCCACAGGGCCTGCCTGCATGAATGACTTTCTCAGCCTGTACAAGTTGCAGGAAACAACATCTTGGCTGTCTCCAAGACCAGTAGAGCTTCATGACCTTCTCAATGGAGTACTCACAGGCTACATCCAAGGCAGAGCAGGCTTGCTGATCCTCAGATTAGAACAAAGTGCTTCTGGACAACTGGTTGGAGTCAGACAGTTCATGGTAAATTGAAGAAGTTAAGGTGACGTCCTGCTCTTTAACCTGCAGCATCACCCTGCTAAGCCTGGTGGGTGAAGAAGAACGAAGATAAACACCAGAGGAGACCGAAAACACATGGCAAGCTGGTTCTAAAGGAAGGCCTATAGAAAGGCCCAGAGAGGCAAAGGACAGTCCCCTAACAGTGATAAAACAATCCCGCCCTCCCCATCTGGGGCAGGAGAGAGAGTTCACTGGGCAGATGATGAACTGAGGAGGAAGGAGACAGAACTATCCCTGAAGAAATAACCACAGTACACAATGCACAAACAGGGACATAAAGCTGCATTCATCACGTTTGCACAAATTGTGTGGAAATCAACACACTGTGGTCAAATGAACACAGGTTCTTGAATCTTCAAAGACTCTTAGAAACATTGTTTCTCAATGTCTCTTTTTAATAATACTACAGCATGATGAGATTTTTTAATTCACTTTCCTGCTATCAAATACTTGCAAATGTGTTAAGATCAAAGAGGCAGACACCAGACATTCACGTCAACTTCACTAGAAGCCAAAGGACAGGAAAGAAGACTGCAGAAAACGTCTGCCATTGGTTAGGTCAACTGAGTCCATTGAATATAGATGACTAGATTTGACAGAAATTAATAAGAGGGGGAAATACCAATACAAGTATATCATAAAAACAGGCAACATTAGTAACAGGTATAGTTGGTAGGTTTTACTACTCCCTGCATCTGGAGTCTCTAAATGTCAACACCAAAAGAGCTGCCCACAATCCCTCAGAATTACCTGGGACATATTGGGTCAAGGTCTTCTTCCTCATCTTGAACAATGCAGTTCTGCAAATAAAGTCAGACAGGATCAGACACATTAAGCAGATTCCCCAATGCACATGAACAATCCACTGTCCAATTCAAACACAAAGACATAAGCTCCTCAGAGCCGTGCAGGGTACTATGAGATAAATATTTCAGAAGGGGTGAAGTTGTACATTGTGGAAATGGTTTGACTTTCTTCACTGAGTTCAGGGGTAAAATCATCTGTCCTGAGTCTAGGCACTAATCCATTCTTTTTCCCACAGATCCTAAACCAGCAGCCCGCCTGCTTGCTAGAAGGAAAATGGCAATGATTATTTTGTTCTCAGCAAGTATCCAGCTTCTTCTCACTTGAAAGGTTTTTCACAACTGTTATTTCTAATAATGAAATAAGAAAGGAAATGGCTGAATCTAGGTGAAAATGAATCTCTGCAGCCACATGAAAACATGGTGACTTGTGCCACTGACAGTGACAAAGCTCCATCCTATATCCAGGAACATATCACCAAGGCAATACACTCAGTAGCAATGATCAGGCTACCACAAAAGATTGATCATAGAGTCAGATGAGCCTGGTTCACAGCCTCAGCAGCAGTGTAGGCAAAAGTGTTATTGCCCTTTCGGCAGGCACAGATTATCAAAAAACAATGCTGAAGAGAAGAAAATTTTTTTAAAAAGAATGTTACAGCTAGCAGGAAACATTACATCTGTCAGCAAGTCTGACAGATACCTTTTGGGGATGTCCTACATAGGTAAACATGAATTGGTCATACCTGCTTTGGAACTAAGATCCTGACAATGGATTCAGACTGGCACAGTCATGACCCAAGACAGGGAAACTAGCAGAGTTCGTTGACCAACCCCATGTTCATAATCACACACCACTCTAGAAACTGCTTAAAACAATATATGTGTATGATTATTGGTTATAAAAATGACACCTCTCAGCCTAATCTAGCATTCTTGGTCTAAGAACTAGAGGGTCTCTCTGGGACATCATCAGAGCTGTATAATGTTCACCACGGAGTATCAGAAAAAGAAACAGTCTTTAAGGATGACTAAAAGGATCAGTAGTTTGCAGCAGTGTGAGATTGGTATGACATGTACCCATGGATAGAGCTCTAGAGGCATTTTGTGAATTTCAAAAACTTTTGCCTTTCGGACTTTTATTCTCCATAATATTATGTGTGATGATGCTCTTCCTAGGTTCTTTTTCTAATTAAAAAAAACTAAATTAAAAATATGTTGAGGAACAAAGGGCCAAAAGCAAACAGACATTACACTAAATAATCTGCATAAGGAAAACAATGTTTACAAATAATTTGGGGCAAGGGAGTACACCTCAATCTGTAGGTGTAGGTTATTGAATGAAAGGGTAGAAGAAATGAAAACCTATACATGACTGACAGCAAAAACAGAAAACACTGTGAACAGGAAAATGTGGGGCTGACTGAAAGGATGAGATACAAATATTCAACAGTATCTGGTTTTCGCTGAATGTGGAGTCTTCAGGTGTCAACACCGTCCTAAAAATCTACTCATTCCTCAGATTTCCCAGGAAAATAATGGGTCTGGAGGTTTCATACAATCTATATTAGAAGAGTTTCCTAAGAGTGAATTGAGACAAGAATCTGTCACATTAAGGAGATCACTCTCCAGTCACGTCCCATCCACGTCCACTCCCAACACTGCAACATAATTCTCCCAGTGTGAAAACAGAACAATTTCATGGTCAGATTCCAGAAAGCTGGAGATCATATCTTGACACAACCATCTCGGTTAGCTTTGATGAACTAGGGACCGAAATCTTTCTGTTCTGGCAGTATATTCTCCTAGGATCATGCATCCTGAGTCTGCACATGGATCCAATCATTTTCCCCACAGATCCTAGGCCAGCAGCTCACCTGCTTCCTAGAAATAAAATGGCATTTTTTCCTCTTCCCTCAGCTAGTACCCTGCTAGCTCACAGTTGAGAGGATGCTTTAGCTGCCATAACCAAGTCCCTGTTGAAGTGACAAGGTCAAAAGGTTAATCACAAAGAATGAGGGACTATGAAGTCCTAGCTTAATTAGGTGGGAGGTGGCAGAGAGTGCTTGCAGGCACATGGAATAAAATTATTCAACCACCACAACAACAACAGAAGCATCCACTTCTGGGTGGAATATAGTGGGGATACATGGGAACGATCTGTCAGAAGAGATCAAGTGCTCAGTCAACTCTGCAGATTACAGACTGAGGAGCAAGGAGAAAGACATTCTATGGGGTTACCCTCATGGCACACAGTATGTGGAGATGACTAAAACAGTCAAGAGTTTGCAATACAGTCTTGAAATGTGGATGCTATCCACCCTATGGGCTTTGCTTTAGAGGCATTGTGTAGATTCCAACAATGGTTGCTTTCTGGCCCTTTCTTCTCCATACTGTGATGTGCCATGACTCTCTTCCTAGTTGCTTCTCAAGAAGGGCTGAAAATGCCACATGGACCTTGACAGAATGAGAGAGTACTCCATGGTGGACCTCTTCATCTTTCTCAGACTTACCAGGAGAATGAGGGTTCTGGCTGTCTCAGATACTCTGCAGCAGGTAGGATTCCTACAAGTGAATTCAGATGAGGGTTTGTCACATAAAGCAGATCTCTCTCCAGACACTTCCACTACACTGCCTGCTCCCAACACAGCAACATCAAACTTCCAATGTGGGAATAGGAAAGTTTAAGTGTCGTCTCCAAGAAAGGCATAGATAATGACTTAATACAACCATCTTGGTTAGCTTTCCTGAGCCAGGGTCTGACTCTCCCTCTTCTGCTAGATTATCCTCCCAGCTTCAGACTTCCTGATCATGCACATGGATTCAATCTTTTTCCTCACAGATCCTGGGCCAGCAGCCCACCTGCTTTCTAGAAGCAAAATGGCAATATTTCCCTTTCCTTCAGCAAGCAGCCAGCTTGTTCACAGAGGAGAGGATGATTTCAGCTGCCATTACCAGGAGGAAGGAAATAGCTGAACCTGAGTGAAAATGAATCTCTGTAGCTACACAGAGCTTTTGTGACTCATGGCTACTGAGAGTGATGAGGCTCCTTCTTATATACAGAAGCATGTCAATAAGGCTATGCACTATAGTTATGATCAGGTCTACTCGCGAAACATAGATCACATTTAGTTCAGCCTGGGTCCCACTCTCCACAGAGATGTAGACAACGATATTATGGCCTCTTAGCAGGCAGAGAATAACCAAACATCATGTTGACCAAAGGAATACTTGCAATGAATTGTTCATTGTCCCAAAGACATTAAATGGTAAGCAGAGATTTTACTCATGCTATTTTTTTTCTTCCTTCCCAGGAAGTCATGTCATCATGTCATGGCCACAAATGTTTAGTGGAAACAAAGTCCCCTGATAAAATTGTGATGCTTGGAGATGTGGAGGTCTGGAGTGTACTTAAGCCTAGAGCACTGTGTCATCAAGGCTGGTGGCCCCTTACCTGGACTGAGTTTTTGGACTAGGTACCTTGCCAGTCTGAGCCCATCAGTCAATTGTTCCTCAAGGATCTCCCTGGAAGACATCATGGTCACAATGAGTGAAGAGGACCTTGAGATGCTCAAATAGTAAGAAGGAGGTATCTCTCCCTGGAACTTCTTTAGTTGTGCCAGCTCTTTTGCATGAGCTTTTATTAATAATCTGTGGTTCCTAAGGTTAGAGAGTAGAGAAAATGAATAGTGAACAGGGATGGGTGATAAGTTCTAAGTATTGCAACAGAGATTTCTGGGAGGAAGTTTCACCTCAAGAATTATTCACTTTAAAAAGAGAAAGCAGGCCAGGCATGGTTGACCATGCCTGTAATTTCAGTGCTTTGAGAGGTTAATGGAAGAATCATTTGCACCCGGGAGTGTGAGGCCAGCCTAGGAAACAGAGAGAGACTCTCCTGTTTACTATAATTTTTAAAATTAGCTAGGGATGTTGGCACACACTTGTAGTCTCAGCTTCATGTTAGGTTGAGAAAGGAAGTTGGCTTGATCACAGAAATTTGAGTCTGCAGTGAGATATTTTCAGGCCTCTGCACTCTGGCATGGGTAACAGAGCCAGACTCTGTCTCCAACCATATATTTTTTAAATTAATAAAAGCCAAAAAGAGAAAACAGGGATCTGAGTAATAATCTCAGCACATAATTTACTATGACTTTTGTTCTCTAATTGTTTTAGGAATGTCTGGGTGTCATACACCGACCATGGAGATTCCAGCTCTTCCCTTGGCCCATGTTAGCTCTTCGCTCTCCCAGCTGAGCTGGGCTCTTCAGAGAGTCATATCTTCCCACCTGATACATAAACCCCATTACCTCAGCTCCTCAGCGCCTCTGGACTTCTGCACCTGGTCTCCCTCCTAGAACTGCAATTCATCCCCCAGCACAGATCCTATAAGTTCTTCATGCTCTGAGAAGACACAGACATGCCTCCCTCAAAGGAAATCTGGCAAGGCTGCTGTGGTCACTACCTATAGGAAAGGAGGAGAGCCCATCCCAAGGAGTAAAGGAACCCCAGTTGCAGCCTCCAGTCAGGGATTTTCCACATCTTGATCTCCCAACCTGCCAACTACATGGCATCAAATATTTCCCAATTTAGAGATGAAGAAAGAGAAACTCAAAGTAGTTGACAAGAAACTTCTACAGTATTTGGCAGTGTCAGTATTCACTACCCCTAATAGTGGACTCTGAGTCATGGACCACTTTACCAAATCTTGAAACCTTTTATGGAAACCATGAAGTCATGATTTTCCAGACAGTTGGGCTCCTTTAACTATAGGACTCATGGTTCCTGTGTACTGGTGATTTCAAGCACAAATGGCAAAAGAATTTTTGAAGTACTATTGGGATACAATTAGGTAAAATATAAGGCATAAGACCATAATAACCCAAAATAATATCCCCCAATACTAATCAAGTTTGTGTTACATTATGAAACACAAAATAAGGAATTAATAGTGTTCATTCTGTGCCAAGAACTGTCCTAGGAGCTTTACAAAAAGTACATTCTGGAATTATCTGCAACAATCCCAATTGTTAGCTACCATTAAAGGAGCACCTTAACAAATGAGGAACCTGAGGCACAGAGAAGCTAAGTAACCTGATTGGGCCCAGACTAGCCCAGACTGTCCCAGAGTCCCTGCTCTACACACTGCATCACGTCACCCCTACGAAGCCTTGGTTGCTGTCTTTCTTCCTCTTTAGGAGTAAGAGCCTGTGCCCAGGAAACAGGACTTCCCTCTCAACAGTGTAATCCCCACTCTTGATAGTGTCACTTATGCATATCACCATTTCCATGAGGAGCAGACTCCTCATCAAGATCCTTTAAAGCAGGTACTGTGTGCAGTCACCACACTTACCATACTGTAACCAGCACAGTGTTTTGCCTGTTGGGCATCAACAGAAGCTTGAGTTAAATGGAAAGTCTTGAGTCCCAGACATGTACACCAAAACTCTAAATGT